CTTATCCGAAGGGGAGATGGTGGAGTGGTGCAGATGTGGGAGAGGAGTCTGGATTCCAGTCTCTGTGTCCCCAGCATAGGTCACGCAATGGCTCTGAGACGCTGGTGCAGGTGGGGATCACATCTGCCTTCACAACCCATGATTAAATGAGGAAATTTATTACAAATAATTTACAAAGCTGAAAGCCGCAATGAAAAGATATATAGAAAACTGGATTCTTTCGTGTTTTCTATCAGTGGCTCCCAAACAGCAATTCATGTAAGAATCACCTGCAGGGTTTGTTGAAATACACATTGCAGACCCCCCCCCCCCCCCCGCCTCCACGCAATCCAGAGCCTCATGCATTCAGAGGTAGGACGTTTGGAAGGTTATTAAAATACCGGGAGTGGTAGAGCGGACTCACTGTTAGGGGGCGGGGCCTGGTCAGAAGAGGCTATCACTGGGGGCGTGGCCTGGAAGGGTGCCTCTCCCTCCCTACCACCTCCCTGTTCTCTTCTCTCTGGTTCCTGGTCACCAGGAGGTGAGCAGCCTTCCTCTGGCCCAGGGCCTTCCATCATGCTGCCAAGGACTAAACTTTCTAAAACGTGAGCCAAAATAAACCTTCACTCCTTCAAGTTGTAGGTGTTGAGTATCTTGCCCTGAAATGAGGAAAGTGACTAAAACAGTCTGTAATGGGTCCAAGCCATGACGTTAGATCAAAGGCCCAAATCTGTGTAGGAGGTGAGGCCTGAATGGATATCATCGGTGTCTGCTCAAAACACGGCCCAAGTCAAGGCGTACCTGGCTGCGCAGTCTTCAGAAAGTTTTATTTCTCTTTAACTTTTTCATTTAAGATAATTTTAGACTTACAGTCAAGTTGTAAAAATAGTACAGAGAGTTCCCATATATCCTCTACCCAACTTCCCCCTATGTTAACCTCTTATGTAACCACCAAAAAATCATCAAAACTAGGAATTGAACCTTAGGCAAATACTATTGACTAGACCGCACCCCTTTCTTCTTTAGTGTCTTTTTGTGTTCCAGGACCCGATCCAGATTGCATTCATTTTCTTGTCACTCCTCCTCTGTGTCCTCTAGTCTGTAATAGTTGTCGGTCTTATCTTTCATGATCGTAAGCCTTGAAGAGCATTAGTCAGTTATTTTGTATGATATCCTTCAACTTGGATTTGTCTGTTTTGTCATGGTTATCTCAGAGTGATATGTCACTGTGAAAGATTCTACAGACATGCTGGGCCCTTCCTAGTGCATTGTATCGGATCACACATGACACTAGTATGTTTTCTTGTAATGTTAACTTTTGTCACTTGATTAACATGGATGTGCCAGAATTCTCCAGTGTAAAGTTACTATTTTTCTCTTTCTAATTACCAGATACTTTGGTAATTACTAGATATTTTGGTAATTACCAGATATTTTGGCAATCTTTTGAGGCTCCAAACATTTTGTTTTTGCTTAAACATTTTACATCACTAATTTTAGCATCTATCAATAGATCTTGCCTGTGGTGATTATTTCTTTGCTATTACACACACATCTATGTACATGCATGCACACACCACCACCACCACATACACCCAAACATATCATATTCAAACAGCATGGGGGGCTGGGGATTTAGCTCAGCAGCAAAAGCGCCTGCCTGGCAAGTGCAAGGTCGTGAGTTTGGTTCCCGGTACCGGAGAAAAAAACAAAAAACAAAAAACAAAAAAACCCCAACAAATCAAACAGCATGAAACCAAAAACAAAGAGAAAATCTTGGAGACAGCTGAAAAAAAAAAAAAAAGAAATATTACATTCATAGGGACCAGATAAGAACTCTAGCAAGGGTCTCATCAGCAACCATACAAATTAGAAGACAGTGATGGGACCATGGTATTCATTTTAAAGTGAAAATTTTTTTCAAAACCTATTAGCATAGAATTCTGTATCTATCAACAATATCTTTCAAAAAATGGAGGGGAAATAGAGACTTTTCTTAGTCAAACACCAAAGAAAATCATTGTCAGCAATCCAGCCCTACATGAAATGTTAAAGTTCCTTAACATTTAAAAATAATAGGAGAAAAAAATAAAAATAATGGGAGAGAAGTGAAAAAATCTTCCACACAGAAGAATTTTAATTAGTAAACATAGAAGGAAGCTAAGGGAATAGATAATTACCATTAGAACACCAAAGTAAGTAATTTCAAAATGTATTCCTGAACTACCGTGAACCTGGATGCCAGTTACCTTGTACATAAATTAAGACTATTATTTATCACTCTTATTTCAGAAAAGATTTGGGTAGTATGAAAGTAAGTGCCTGCCTCTTTCATGTTGTGATTATGAAGGTCAAAATATTACAATTATGAATGACTAAGCCTTCAAATCAGAAAAAGCTAGCAAGATAGATGTTACAGCTTTTCCAAAACATCTTACTGCGGCAAAGGTTGCAGTTGAATCAGCTGATATTGAAAGGAAATGACTCTGGAACAGACAGAAAGACTGTGGGTTGTTCATTTTGGCAGGGAACAGTCACAAAGAGTGACGCCATTTAATCATCAAGAAGAGGCATTGTGTGGGGCTGGGGATTTAGCTCAGCGGCAAAAGCGCCTGCCTGGCAAGCGCAAGGTTGTGAGTTCGGTTCCCGGTACCGGAGAAAAACAAAAAAAAAAAAAAAAAAAAAAAAAGAAGAGGCATTGTGGAAAGATGGTGTGACAAGAGCTCGGTGCCAGGTGCAAGCACAAAGCAAAATCTTTCCCTGTGGGATGTAATGGCATTCACTGCTGCCCCAACCTCAGCCTGTGACCCCACCTGTGTAGCTCCTCTGAGTCCCTGAAGCTCTCCCCAAGCATCATTTCACCCAATCCTCTCAACAGCCCCGAGAGGCAGCTGATGTATATGTTTTCACAGCAGAGATGCAAAGGTTCTAGGCCTCTTTCAGTGAGGCTGACAGACTCTTTGACCTCTCCTACCTTCATGTTCAGACCAAAGATTCTGATGCCAGGCACTCAGAAGCTGTGCAGTGCTATTATCTGAATGTTGTTGCCCCAAATGTGGATTTGGGTGGATCTTTAGTTGATTTTAGGGACCCTTATGTCAGAAAATTACTTCAATTCTCTTCCGGTCCATTTGGCTACATCGTATAGACAAAGCCTCTGTTTGGTGCCAGCTCCTCTACACTTGCTAATCTCTGTTTGTAATAGAGAACGAAGTCCTTAGGCTTAGAGCCTTTATAAGGATATAAAATCTGGCTCGAATTTGACAATATAGTTTGATTTTCATTTTACTGATTTTTAGAATTACTGTATTTCCCATTTATAACGTCTAACATGTAGTGTTTCAAAGTCTCATTTTAAAACAAAATTATTAGAAACTAAGTTGACAAATATGTTAAGAAGACACAGTAGTATGGATGTGTGGTGCAGCTTGAGCAAGTGGTTTGGGACGATGCTCGCAAGAGAACCAGGAAAGGCCAGTTCATACCTAAGTACCATGGAGAACTCCTACACTGCCCTGCCATAAGCCTAGCCACTGATGCAGCCTAGGACTTCGCAGCATCTTTGTTGACCTATTCTTGTCTAAGTGTAACTGCAGAGAGACTTCACTAAATAAAGATTCTTAGTTTTGAAAGTTTTTTCATATATTGTTCCCATTCTTCCAAACACCCATCCATCCACCCATCATTGCTTCCTTCCATCCCTCTCTCTCTCTTCCTTTCTTCCATCTATCCATCAAAAACAAAACAAAACAAAACAAAACACCATATTTTTCTCCTTACAATGATTTTCAGATATTCCCAGCAGTGAGAACAAACTTCTCTGAGACATCGAGGGGACTCTGTGGGAGCTCAAGTTCAAGTTTCCAAAAATTTAGTTTAAAAGTTTATGCCAATTTTGGACCTCACTTATCGGAAGCCATGTCTTTTGATCTAAAATCTCTCCGCAAGAATCTTTCATATAAGTGACTCTCTCGGATGACCCTGCTTATACTGATGGCCTCTTGGGACATTGCCATGGTCTCTAGAGACTCACACTGGAGACGCAAGGACCTGCTTTGCATCAGTTCCTGTACTAGGAATACAGAGATCAAGAAACCCCCTTAGGGCCAGGACCAGGTGCTGTCAGCACAGAGTCCAGGAGTAGCTTGGTTTGTGGTCTGAGATTCCCAGCAAGCACTCTGCAGCAACTCCAGCATGCCTTTCTTTAAGAGGGATGCAGGCAATAGTCGAAAATCTCTGACTTTGGAGCCACGCAGCCCTAAAGTCAAAGTCTAGATATTGCAGGTTATTGGAGTTCTTCTACTGGGCACTTCTGGGATTGTAAAGGAAACACCTGGATTTGTGAACTGCAGGATAAAGCAACTCAGCCTGCAGAGAGCTGGAGAGGAAAGGCACAAAGTGTGTGGCATAGGAACCGAGAGCCCTGACCTCACCCTCTGGTGGCCTGGATTCTTCCCTAGCTGCACACCACCCTGCCTCTGCCACAGATGAGCAGCAGTCACTCATGCCTGTTTCCTGTGTCACAAACAAGGAGCTTGGATGAGGGGATTCTTAAGGGTCCTCCCAGCTCACAGGCTCTCTGCTCCACCTTTCCCTTTCCCTTGCTTTGGCTTTCAGTTTTGTCTTCTTTACATGTCCCTCTCTCCTTATTGCTTCTTAAAATGCTGTGCCTACCCCTCTCATGTTATAAAAACAGCAGCTGTCTGCCATCACTACTCAAATGTTCTTTCCTGCATTTATGAAGATCAACGGCATCTGTTATTAGTGTGGACACCCTCGCTGCTTGGGCGAATGATATCACTGGACTTGTTATAGTCCCAGAAGGCAGCACCACAATGGATCAGACAAGCAAAGCCACATTTCATGACGTGACCCACAACGCATCTCCAGCTAAGACTCCATTGTGAAGCATGTAGCCCTAAGGTCAATTTCCTTTTCTTTTTTTCCCTGAGTACAATAAATGCCTGCTTAATTAGGTGCTTCTCTTCCACTGTCCACAATGAGTACCCATCGAATCTTAGTTAATAAAATGAGAATTTATTAAATTTTCAGTTCTAATAAATAGTCATTTTCTCTGCAATGGACCCCAAGCCCTGGTAAAAATGAAATGGCCTATGTGACCATCCAAGGAGAAAATGTTAAACTGTGTTCTTTAGTTACAAAAGCGGGTCTCTTCTCCTTCCCAGCCCTATCGCCATCTTGTTGCACTTCAAACGCCTGAAGCTGAATTCAGTTTTCTTATCACCCTGAGGTCCCAGGATATCTTAGCTGAACATTCTGGTCTTCAAAATTAACAGAAAAGGAAAACAAAAATCTGAGAGATGTGTATGCGGAGTAGAATATTTTCCCTATCCAGGGAAACACTGACAAATCTGCTCAGAAGGAAGCCCAGTCAAAAGAAGGCCCAGACACATTCGGGAACATTCTTTCTTTTTTCTTGAAGCAGCTGGGTGAGGTGGTGAATTCAGCCATTCAGAGTCCCAGGAAGATTTAGGGTTTTCAACCACACATGAAGAATACAGCAGAGGGAAGTCAAGGCTTCCGTAAAATTCATCTCCTGTAAAGCTTTGGAGGGAGATGAGTGGAGCAATAAGGCAGTGTCTTATGCTGTGTTTGTGATTCATTTTGAGAAGATTCAATTTAGATGTAAAGAGTAAAGCTAAGAGGATGGGAAGGAATTTCCCATTTCCCCAGCCCTGGAAGGCGGCCATGGGCTGAGGCCCAGATTTCGAAAGCTGAGCATGAGGCGCTAATGGGATGGACGTCCTGGATGAAGCCAGCAAGCTCAGGGATGAGTGACTCTTGCGAATGACAGTTCTCATCCTCCACTCATCCCTAGGCCTCTGTGCCCAGCAGCCACTGCTTGCTTCTACCTGTCCCCACTGGTCTCTGCCAATCTATTGTTCATTATTGCAAAGGCCCCGACGCCCCCTGAGAATTCATCGTCTTGGGACAGTGAGCTGGTCTGATGGGGACCGCCATTGGCCATCTCAGACAGCTGCTTCTGGAGGATGGCCAGCGCCACCTTGTTGGAGTCCTTCATGGAGATCATCTCTCCTGAGAGACGGCGCCCCTCTGTGTCACTTTCCATCACCCCGTCTGTCTCTATGGAGATGTTGCACCGGTTCCGGACACTGCCCGGCATCACCGCGTTTCTCCGGGACTGCAAGAGTCTTCTTTGGCATTGACGGAAGCACCCACCGTCCACCTTCCTCAGGATCCAGTTCACTGACTGTTTGATCAGGATGGAGATGACATTGAACAAGGAGTACAGGCAGCAGACGCCCATGAGGATGAAGAGAAAGTTGGCAAAGCGGTAGAGACCCTGGCTGTCATACTGGGCGTTCTGGCTGCTGACCAGGTCCCCAAAGCCGATGGTGCTGAAAGCCACAAAGCAGAAGTAGAGGGAGTCGAAGTAGCTCCAGCCTTCCATGGGGGCGTACAGGGCTGAGGCCCCGCAGGAAATGAGCACCGAGGCCGAGCACAGGATCAGCATGACGTAGTACACCGACGGTTTCCAGCCGGCCAAGCTGTCTGGCTCCCGCTTCCCCGGGGCCTTCAGGCTGTCCTGGGCCAGCGCCCCACGTCTCCGCAGCTGGCGCTGGTGGCAGGATCTCATGATGTAGGCGATGACAGTGATCAGGCGCTCCAGGAAGAGGTTAAAGAACAAGATGGTGCTCGCGCACCCAATGAGGCCGTAAAAGATCAGGAAGATTTTTCCTCCTACAGTTGCTGGAGTTGTCATCCCAAACCCTGAAGGAGACAAAAATGAGAAAGAAGAGTGAGACAGGTCTTGGCTGTGAACGGAGCTGGAATGCGGTTCTCTGATGGCTGGAAGAGGATCTAAGAAAGTTTCATCGCGTCACTCAGACCGGGCTTTGCCGGGAAGGATCGGGAGAATTTCTCTGGAAGACATTAAGCATTGTTCAGAGCGTGGAGCAGGGCCTGCTGCAAACCCATGTGGTGCTGTGTGAACCAGAAAAGCCATCTTTTCCTCTGGGTTTGGCGGTGACAATGTGGACTGGGTTACAGCCTTCTCTCCCCCTTTTGCCGGATATTCTTGTACAGTTTGCAATCTGAACAATGCTCGACAGATCTTGCTCAGAGACACAGGCAAAGGCTCATATGAAGAAGAAGTGTATACAGATGCCTTAGAATTCATTTATTCTACACTCAGAGAACCAGGGGAAAGACAGATCTGGTCCCTGCCCTCATGGAGCTCTAGTCTGGGAGATGATCAAAGTGTTGCACTATGGGATCTGCTAAGAGGGGAACATCTTGGACTTGGGGTCCTGGGGAGATTATGCAGGATGAGCTAAAAAGTAAGAAGAGTTAGGCAGGGAGGAAAAGGGTTTATGGGTGTGGTGACAGTGGTGGATATTCCAGGGAGAGAAACAGCAGACGCCTGCACATGTAGAAATGAGGAATTTAATCAATACTTTTTCACCTATTAAACAAAATTCTTCAAACACATACCTCACACGTTTAGAGACACTGGATGTTATGGTTTGACAAAATATAAAGTATTTGTCTTTCTTGCCTCTGCCTCTAACTTTCTACAGTTCCCACCTTTATCTGCCTGTGCACACAGACACACTGAGAAGAATATATCCTGGAGGGCAACAGGTGTCATTGAGAAAAACAGAAGTTTTTTTTTTTTTTTTTCCCTCTAAACTCATCCTTTTATCATGCTTTTTTTTGCAGGGGGGTACCAGGAATAGAACTCAGGACCTCATACTTGCTAGGCAGGCACTGCACCACTGAGCTATATATCAGGCTATCATGCCAGAGATCTCTCATTTTAATAGTTTTGACTCCTCATTGTAATAGTTTGTTTTAGCCTCCACTGGGTAATTTGGTATTGTGAGCTCATCTTCACCAGGCGTATTTTTCCCTATGGAAGCTGTACATGTCAGGTTGTAGACACTTCCTCTGATCAGGAGGACAACATAAACATCATATTATTTAGGTCTCAGTTATAAATGACAGGAATGATAATTAAAGTTGATCTTTGCAAAAATAAATTTATTGACTCGTTCATTGAAAAATTCTGGATATTTTATGTTTCATGAAGTACAGGCTGGATAAACATGTTCAAATAGTGTAACACCCATAAATGATGTCTGCATTTCAGGATTCCTTCTTCTAGTGGTGATGCACAAAGCTCTAAATCTAGCATAAAATGAGTGCCTCACCTTACTGACCCTTTGACAAATACCCACAACCACCTCTACCTGGCCCAGTCAGGATACAGAAGGAGAGGCCAGGATGTTTAATCTGTCTGAGTTGAGACAGGAAGAGGGGTGATTAGTAAAGGGTGGTTGCTCAGCCAGTGTGTCCTCTTTTGGCTATAAATTAAACAAATTAACAGTAGTTTCAACTATTGTATCTGATGAGATATAAAATTTTCATATCTTGATTTTGATAAACTGCAAAAGCAGAGATCAACAGGACTGGAGCACACTGGCCTGTTTCTCATGGTCTCTTCCTGTGGGAAGAGACTATAAAACTTTCTTTAGGAAATAATTATCTCCGTATTTCTTCCAGCAAGGCCTTCTGTAGAACACTCCCAAGGCAGTCATTCTGTAGTATTACAAGATATTTTTATACTCTCTAAATGCTCTATAAAACTACCTTGGGGTCTGTTTATATACATCATGGTAATCTTTATTCTGTGTGGCCACCTTCCCTGTCCTGTCCATGAAATCTTCTGAATAAAACATCCTTCTTGGATGGGTCCCAGAGATGTAGACCATCATACCAAGCCTTTTTGACAGTTCTGTGAGCTTGTGTCAGTCATTGTTTCCTTCTGTGTGATTGCTTCAGGCTGACTTTGTGACTTGTAATGGGTACACTTGAGACATCTAATGTCAGCGTGAAGGTCCAGGCCCTCTCTTCCACTGATGTTCTTTCATTTTTCTTAGTTACTTGCTTGTCACTGAGATACAATACCTGATACTGGAAATGTAAAGGAGGAGAAGTTTATTTTGGCTCACAGTTTGTAGAGGTTTCAGGGCATTGTTAGCTAACTCCAAGGCAGGATGGCATGGCCCGGGGTCATGGTAGAGGACAGTTGCTCACGGCATGGTGGACAGGAAACAGAGAGATCAAGGGAGGAGCAGGGGAGAGAGCTACACTCTTCCAGCCTACATCCCTACTGACAGTCTCTTCTGAACAGACCCTGCCTCCTAACGGCAAGCCAGCTATAAGCCTCCATAATCCAATCTTTCCAAAAGCCCTGCCTATGAGTACATGGGGACCTTAGGGAGCATCTAAATGGAAACTGTAACATACTGTAGTACCTTTTAAACATTCTTTTTAATTCACAGAACAATACCCACTTCTGAAATCCTAAAATTCTCCTCCCCGCTGTCTTCAGTGGGCACCCAATGGGAGCGCTACTCCCAGGCTTTGTTCAGTTCTCTCCTTTTCTCTCAGCAGCCTCCACTCAAAGCTACCCAACCACAGCAGCATCTAGCATCTCCTCTCAGCAGACGGGCCCTCAAGTTCATATCACAGGCCTCTGTCTTAATCTCAAAGCTGCTGAGGAATGTCTGGCCCACATTCCACCATTTCCTGAACTCAACATAGTGTCAGGTTCTGTTTGATAAACCAGTTCTTCCTCTTCATGTGTCTACGATGTCTACCTTTTGTGCTTGTTTATGGGAACACCATTCTCCAGGCCATAGGAATCCAAGTGTGAGTTCCACTTCTTACCCCTCCCTCCCCGCAATTTCCATATTCAACTGCCACCAAGTCCTGGACCCGTCCTAGGGGACAGCTGTAGATTGGTTTCTGGGTAGTGCAGACTAGGGTGAGGGAGGGAAAGCGCAGGCAAAGACAGCTTTGACCTGAACGGTGACTGTGAAGGATGAAATGGTCTCGGGAACATAAACAGTGACCGTAGCCTAATTAGGCTGGATGATTGGAACTCAACTGGATCAAAGATAAACAAACAGCATAAAATAAATGCTTTCCTCTTTTATAACTTGTGGTTATAAGACAAAACTCAAGTTTTTCACAGTCCTAACATTTGGCTGATTTACCTTTTGTGCCTTATGTATAGATGTTCTAGGGAGTGTATGGTCACTAAGCCCTCTGCGTTGTTTTCCCATACTGTTTCCCGTTCTGAGCTTGTCTCCTTTGCAGGAGTGCTGACTCCACCATAGAACCATTTCATTATCTAGGAGGAAGGGTCTCCGAGGGTCTTGCATTCAGCTCTCAATAAATATAGGTCCCCAGAGAGAAGAATCTTTCTGTCTACATATATTCTTATTTTCCCAGTTCACCCACCATGCTGATTAAAAGACCTCATTTATTAGTCTGCTTGGGCATGGGACACAGAATAAGATCTAAGACTGGACACTTGATTCTGGCTGGGCACTCAGCTGCTCCAGCCTCTACAGTGACAGAAATAGCTGAAGAAACACACACTAACTCAGAAACCCCAACCCTAGATGCAAAGCCCTGCTCTGGCCCTAGGATAAAACCTCTGAAAATGAAAGGAAAGGGAGCCTTCGCTTTACTGACTTGTGTGCATTCTAAAACACCAAAGAGATAGAAAAGGCAAGAGGGAAATCACATTTGCCAATTTAAAGACAACTGTCACTGGTGGAAGCAGAATCAATTTTACTGAATGTCCTAGAAAATATTACCAACTTAATACATATTGACCAAATCACTGAATAGTGGAAAACATTTTATCTTCTGCTTACTCAACCTTTGATAACCAAAATCAAAGTACCTAAGGCAACTTTTAATCTGCTTTAGGGATGCAGCACTATCTGTGACAGTTGGAAGGCAGTCAACCTATATTTATGGGAAGGAAGGAAGGAAGGAAAGGAGGGAGGAAGGGAAGAATAAGGACCTATTATTATGATAGGCAGGTTCAAAGTATTTTACTACACAACTGGTCTTCCTTAACTTATGTATTTTTGTCAACTTTTAAAAATAGCTCAAAGGATAGAGGTAGAAACTAATTCCAATCCAGTCTGCTCTGGTTCCAGTGATCCAGTATTTCTACTGCTGTCAGTAGCTTGAAGAGAGAACACATGCCTTAATGTTAGACAGACTTGGCGTTGAGTCCCACTCTGGCCAGTCACTGACCATGTGGGCCCCTCCTCTCCATTCAGATCATATTCATGTTGTAGGGCCAGTAAACTACAAAATAGTGAGCATAAGCTCTGACGCCAGAGCCTCTGGGTTGAGCTAGATAACAAGTTCTGCCACTTACTACCTGTGTGTCTGGGGCAAGTTCATCTTCACGTCGGTGCTTTAATCTCCTCAGAAGTAAACTGGAGATGAGTAATAGTCTCTCTCTCATGAGATTTTGGAATAACTCAAATAAAGTACACAGTATAGAACTTGGAACATGGTTATTCAACAAGCATTAGCATTACTATTAAATTGTCAAGAAGAGCAGGGACTTGTGTGTTTTGTTTACAACTATATCCTCAGTGGAAGCTTAATATACAGCTAGTGCTCGGTAACTTGATGAATAAAGGAAGAATACGTCTTCACAGATTGTTGCAGGGAGATTACATTGTGTAAACGAGGAAAATGTCTGACATAGGCCAGCCACCGAACATATATTCTTTGTGTTCTTGTTTCCCTGACCCCTTCTACAGAACAGTCCCTGTGTCTCCTGCTTTTCAAATACTATTTTTTCTTTGTGAGAATACACACTTTGATCTAAATAAAATCTGATATACTGATACCTAGCCAAGCGGCATTTTCACTGTTATTTGCTGGCC